AGGGCGGGTTCCAGATGAGCCACCAACAGTGGCCAGGCCTGCCAACCACTCACATCGAGTCAACACTGGAGACAACACCCACGAACAAGGAAATCTCGGTGTCAGGCGGGACACACCCGGACAGAGATGCAATTATGGGATCACCTGAGGAGCTGGAGAAAGTACCCGGGGAGGTGACCATGGAGCAGAAGGACGAGGAAAGGGAGGTCCTGACGGAGGAGGAGAGGCTCACAGAGCAGGGGGCCCACCCRGATAAGGGTCCCAAACCCAAGTCCGGAGAAGGGCCCTCATGGGCTCAGAGGGTGAGGAACACGATTCAGGAAAAATCCCTTGCCATCCAACGCCAACCACTGGGAGAACGGGAAGGAGATTCACAGACGTTAAATGTACCCCTGCGCAACCTCTCTTCTGCCAGRGCCTATTTCCTCACCCTCCTCCTCCTCCCCTCAGAAAATCAGGTGGTCGACCAAGGGGGAAGGAAGACAATAATGAAGACATATCCGACAGAGAAATTGGGGGAGCGAGACAACGTGTACATCAAACACGCGAGTAACTGGATATTCTACGGTGACGCAACCCAAAGATCGATTAACGATAAAACGAAGTGGATTCGCCAGAAACTGGAAGAATTGAAAGGTAGTGCAGAAGGCGCTCAGGAGTTTTTTTTTATCCAACCGCTTTCGTCGACTGTATGCACGGTGCTCAACCTTTTCACCCAAGACAAATGCTAAATGGACGGCTGGAAGAAGGTGAAGTGGGAAGGATCAGACGTGAGAATCTACCCCTGGCAACCCAAGAAGTTGATTCCGGAGGAAAAGAGGGATCAGCTAATGCGGGACCACTTCTAGGTTGAATTAAGGCACATTCCGATCGAAGTGCAGACTGCCTTCATTTACGATTTGGGGCAACAATATAACATTGTGGATTTCATAGACCCTCTTCCCTCGTACGCTGCCAAAAGAGACGATTATTTGATGCTAGCCTTGGATTTACCGAAAGACTGTCTCTTTTTCATCGACGACATTGTTCCCTTTAGGATGGGGGGTAATGTTTACTTTATCCACACGGCCCACAAGTTCAGGCCCTGGTGCTTTAAATGCAAGGCATACGGGCACCTGAGCACAGAGATGGCCTGCCCGCAGCACCCAATTAAAAGGAGCTCCAAAATAAGTACGCGGCGGCAGGGCTTGAAGCTCCCCCCCAAAAAAGAACCCAAAAAGCTTCCCCCAGCAAACAAAGAACAAGGCAAAGAGAAATTGGAACCCAAACAGCAGCCCCCCTAGGAAAAAGAAAAACAGGCAAAGGGGCTGCAGGAGAATCAACAGACAAAGGATTGGGGTCCGACCGCAAAGGAATTCCTGCCGACCGGAAAATTACTAATCGAACAAAAGGACGGGGGTAGACGGCAGAAAGAAAATGACTCTGCAGGAACAGACACACTAAATGCAGGTCAAAGATCCCGTAGTGGGGACCACACGGAGGGAGGGGGCCCCGAAGTGGAACATGATGTTTTCGGCCCGGCACTGATGGATATCGAGATACCCCCCGGGGCCCCTTCCCCCCCCTTCCCCCCCCACACCGCCTGATGTGGACATGGCGGAGGCGGAGACGAGCGAACGAATAGTCGAAATGAGCCTCCAGGCGGTGGCAGATTGGCTGATGGGTAGTCTGCACTCCAAATTTGGGGACGGGGATACTGATTTCTGGGATGGGGTATACAGAGCGCTCATTCCCATGTTGCAAAGCAGCACAAGTCTGCACAAGGCCCTGGTCCAAGGGCTGCCTGAGGGGACCAGTTGGCACGACGTATGCAAAAAACTCCTCAGTATTGTTCTCAGTCGCTTCCATCCCCCCGCTCGACCCCTCGCGGAACCAGAAAAGGAACCTGGAAGGAAGGAAGGTCAAGGGAACGAACAAGAGAGGGAACCTGGAAGGAAGGAAGGTAAAGGGAACGAACAAGAGAAGGCGGCCACAGAAAAGGATGCAAAGGAAAAATCCGGGGAAGCTGAGGCAGTGGGATTAAAAGAGCCATCAGGGGAACAGTTAAAAGAAAAGGAAAACCGTGTGCAGACGGACCCGCGAAAGCCGCAAGAGGTAGAGAGGGGGGTAGGACCGGAAGGAAACCGAACCCTACTGGAGAAAGATGAGAGGAAAGGGGGGACTGAGCATGGAGGGGGAAGGGGGAACAGGCCGCAAGATGAGGGCAGGACTCAGACTCAAGGAGGAGCCGACAAGGAAAAAGGAGAATTGGCACCGGCCGGCCTATGTATGGCCTTGGCAGCATGGAACCCAGACGCCCCACCAATGGGAAAGGCAGCCCCACCCCCGAAACCTCAGGAGTCTGCGCTGACCAGCAAAAGACAGAAATTCAGAGTCCTGCTGGAGACAACGCAGCAGGATCCGCCTCCGGTCAATAAAGGTTTTGCACTCCTGCCTGTCAGAAAAAGAGCGGAGGACGGTCACTGGGAAGTGGGGCTGGCGGTCCCACCTGGGGCAATACATGGGGAGATAACCATGATGCGGCGTTCATCTTTGTTCCTAGCACTCACGTCGTGGGGGGAGGGATTGCCACTTCGGGGGACGGAGATCTCCCAACTGACCAAAGATTTGCTCCCCAAAGGAGCTACAGCGGCCCTGGTTATATCATATAACAGCGATTTCGTCAAAATGGACATTTTATATTTTTTGAACGAAATTTAAATTGTCATTTCCGTGGTGATTTAGGGTCAAAAATGCATTTGAATTTGGGTTATGGGTATACATGCAAGGGTAAGGGGTAAGGAGTAAGGGGTAAGGGGTAAGGGGTAAGGGGTTTGGGGGTAAGGGATAAGGGGTAAAAGACAAGGGGTAAGGGGCAGGAACTTGGAGCAATGGTTGTCATCTTCTATATACTGTTTCCATAACAAAGAATTTAATATTACCCACATTCATCCGCATGTAATCACAATATCCAGCAGCAGGTTCATACTACTCGCGATCCACTGTGTCCAAAGCCATTCGACGACGTATTGCGGGTATGTCATCAGCGGTGAAAGAGAAAGGCGGAAAATGACCCCTAGCCAATAACGATGCGTATCCGAGCATGAAGACCCCACACGAGCTAGTGTTGCGTTGTTTCGGGACGCCCTCTACGATCCATATGTGATTAAACGGTTTCGTATCCACCTCTTTGCCTTGCTGAATCGATCTTTTAAACAAAAACTTTGCAAATCCGCCGGTCACTTTGGCTGTCAGTTCTTTGTCGGGGCTGAGGGAGTCATAAAATTCAAATTTCCTCCTCCTGAAGTCAGCCACAACGAGGGTCCAGTGGTTCGTGTGTGCGATATGGAAAGGGGCAATTATCAAGTCCATGTCACTTATTATAATGTCATTCGACCAGTGTTGCACCTCTTGCTCTTGATATCTCATTTCGTTGTCGAAAAGTCTAGCGAAGAAAAACGAGCTCAACACTGATATTCTAGGAATGCGACCCTTTTCGATTCTAATCACGGTTTCGTTCTCGGCGTCGTATTCTACGTGTGTGATTCTACACCAGTTGTCTAGTGCGATGAGGTTCAAGTAGAAGTTGACGACGTTGTCATTTAACCAGTTCCGCTCGTCGACTAGTAAAATAAATTCGTCTCGAGTTAGCTTCAGTACTTCGTTCGTCCGATGATTGTGTGTGCTCGCTATTCGGAAACTTTTTCCCATACTCCCGGCATACATGTGAGAGTGCTTTCATCTCCTTCTCTGATAAAGACGATGTTGCGAGGCACATTGTCCACCCTCTTTTGCACTTTCTTGTATCCGTTATTGTAATTTGCACTGCACACGGCAAACGACGAATACGACATCGACGGCGGTGTAAACAACGGTGACCGAGGCAGACAGGGGTGTAAAAAATGGTCGCCCTTACAGGAAAGTAAGAAACGGGTGGGCAGGCGGTGTAAAAAACGAGGAGGACGACCATTTGAGATAATTGCACATGGGCAAGTGCCTTAGCATAACATGCTAAACGGAAATGATGTATTCAAGATACGTCATCAATGTTTCGCTAAACTTACACTTAGATGAACGACAACACTTCGGGACCAATCAATCCTGACTCCTGCCCCCTTTCATCACCATACCCCAACGGCATACATGCATATACACAACGCAGCATATTGACGAATATAGAGAGACACACACGCATACTACGGCACACTATTGTTCACCCCACAATTTTCTTGTCAACAATTAAAAGGCCAAATCCCGGAAATTGAACACTAATGAGTCTGCAGGTCGATTGTACACAAGAACAAATTCCGCCCACAAACCCAGATTTCAAACAAATGAGCACACACACGAAAACATTAAATTTCTCCGCGAAGAGGATTCCCCTCAAGGTCATTCGTTGTCTCACCCCTCATTCTGCACGCGTGGGATCGCTCACGCCCTTTCCGCCTTCTACCCCATCCTCATCGTCCGTCGTCATGTCCTCAATATTACAAGAACGTGGAGACCCCCCTCCATTTCCCCCATTCCCATCATCCCCTGTGACCCCTCTCTGTGGTGTTGTTGTACAGTGTGCGTCACCTTTGCTAGTGCATGTGGGCGGATGCAACGACATCCCCGTGACGCCCATCCCAGCAGTGGACTCTGACACCATCTCCGATGTGCCTGCCAGCGCCGCACCTGTCACGAGAAGACTCCCGTATGTGGCGCCCGCATCCACCGGCTTGTCGAGTGACACTTTTTCACCTTGTGATGTATCCCCCGTTGCGGCAGAGATGACTCCGATGGTGTTTTTGCCTGCGGGCGTGTTCCCCGCCTCTGGCAACGGAGGCTTCACGCCAAACGTCGTCCCGCCATCTTCCCTTTGTTCACCCATCGTGTTCCCTGTGGCCGCCTCGGGCACAGAGGTGGCATCTTCTCGGGAGTCCACGTCCATGCTCTCGAGCGAGGCGGCGCGCTCAACCTTCCAGTCAATCTTGCTGTACGAGGGGCTCGACTGCAACTCGTAAAACTTGTGTGAGTACTCTAACTGCCGAGTGACTCCCAAGGCGTCGAACAATTGTTTCGCCTTTGCCGCGATGGATGTTTCACTCTCCCCGGAGTTCTCTTTCCGACAGCGGTATAGTATTGATTGCTCCGTCGTCTTCAGCCAGTTGTCCTTTCCCATGCGGGGAAACGGTCTCCAACCCTTCGAGACATACTTCACCGCCATTTTCCACTCCCCGCCTTGGATACATGGCTCGAAAATGTCGTCATGCCAAATGATATCATGGCCCCACTTGTCCTCACTAGTGCAGGCATATTTGTCATCCAAGAAATACACATTGTTTGCATCCGCACAAAATCTGGGAGGAATCGGATCGTCTGGCGCCAGCTTCGTTGGCTGAGCAGGAATATCAAGGTCATCGTCTTCGTCGTCTTCCACAAGCGTACATACAACCCGGTCCACACCCGAGGCTACACTGTTTGCGGGCCGCAGGTTCGAGCATCCCTCTGATTGACCCGTTCCATATCCCTTGACGCTGTGCTCCATGGCAACGGACTTCCCACACCACCCGGTTGCATTGGTGTCCTTTTCGATCTCGAGATCGGTGTCCGACGAGTCTTCCTCGCTGTCAACGGGGTTAAAGCCTTCACCCGATTTAGCAAGGTCTGCATAGTCCTTAAACGTCAGTTTATCTTTGTGAAGACCAAACCTCAAGATCTCGCATCGAGCAACGAATGTCTCGAAGGCGCCAGTTAGAGCACCGTGATAATGTTTGAGGGCCTCGGTCACCTTGGCTTTCCTATATATGTATCCCCCATCAAGGCGTCCATCCGACGTATCGCGGAACAGGTATTCCCACACCTTCAGTCTTTTCGGTCCTTACTTGTGGTACATATCCCTGTTCGTGCGATGTGTGGCACGCGGCTTCTCGAGGCGGCACTCGAATCTCCCATCCTTAACAAGTATGTCGACGAACTTTGTCAAGTATGCAATGTTCTTGGCCGACTCGTCACAGACAATGACATTATTACCTGCAGGCAATAACTTCCATACAAGACCCGCGTGCGTCCTACCCAGCAAAAGCACACCTTCCGCCTCTCCTACGAATGAACCGCACAACTTCCGCAACTTGCCAGGTTCTCGCTCCCAAATTGAATATGCGGCACTTTCGTCACCCTCGACGCCACCATGTTTTCTGAGACACTTCCCAAATTTTTCCTCCACAACATGCACTTCGGTGAGATCGTTGTGAAGTCGGGGTGCGACAGTTATTTTTTTCAGATTCCCTCCTTCAGCGTGCAGCACGATCGCCATCAGGTCCCGACTGCTCGTAGCGATGTTGTCGTACCTTGTGACATCGCTCGGCAGCCTGTCCACTCGTTTCCATGACCCGGGGATGAGCTCGATGTCCTCCCAACGGTACAATTGACGCAAGACATCCCTTTGCACATTCTGCGGTGCAAAGAAGATGAGGACCCAATTTGGACCACAACACTTCGCCATCATTGCGCACAGTGCATCGAAGTCCTGCGAGGTCCATGCACTGCTGAAATTCGCGGCCGAGATGTCCACGATGGCGGCCCTGCATGCCATTTTTTGTGGGGCTGCGACGATGTCGACGGGCGCCGCCATAACCTCCTTCGACCGCATGCATACAAGAAGCAATGTGGTCTGCCTGCTGAGATTGTCCCACACAAGATGGCGTGCACTGGAGGCGATCCGTTTCACGTCCGCTGGAAGCATATCGAGCTTATCGATCGTGGTGTATATAAAGACCTTAAAGTGAAATGGAGCCTCCTTGTACATAACTTCTGTAGGCCCCAAGCCCGCAACTTGCCTCGCCTCCTCCACTCCTCCAAGTCGCCGAGGGATCGTCTTCACTAAGTTGCTATGCAGCTTCTCCCGTTGCTTCTCCCATTCATCTGCGCATAACCCGTTTGAAGCATACCTCTCTTCCAAGTCCTTGTACGACATGAAGAAGTCGTCGTTCCATTCGTCCCCTGCCCTTCCCTCGGCGCGAAACATGACGTAGTTGAACATGCGGACCATGTATCTCCCCTTGCGCATAATGTCGAGGAGGCACTCTGTGTTCACCCTCGGAGGTGTGACTCTCACTTTTGTTGCCACCACTTTCCCCGATATGAGCAGGAGTAGCGCGACTTCTCTCTCGCGGCATGTCATGTCCCCGAAGTTCTTGAAGTACGTAGGACACAAATCCTTCCAGGACACGGTGGAGCCCTTGGGACCATCTCTCGCATATATGCAGTGGTACAAAGTCCGTTGTCCCTTGTTCTCGTCAGTGTACGGGCCGGGCAGGCGCCCCTCCATCCTCCCCGGCATCTCAAGTGGGATCTTGTCGTCGCCGATTGGCAGATTACCCTCCTCGAACATCGGAAAGAACTTCTCCACCAGCGGCCAAACCATGTGGGTGGATGTGGCGAGGTTCAGGTACCCCCGAAGTTTGTTACTCCAATCCTTGCTGTATTCGTTGTCGAGTGCTTGTTTCACGAACGCCTTGTCGCACGCCTTCCCCATGCAGACCCTCAGGAAGTTCTGCCACGTTTTCTGATGCGCAACAGCGACGGCATCCTTCTCGCTCACCTTAGCTTTGGGTGCCTCGATCCTGTTGTTGTCGATCCACCATTGCTGCATATCACGCACAGCGTCCTGGAAGGATAACATCATGGCGCGATTCTCCCATGTGTTGTCGAAGAGGGAGACATTGAAGTACCCGCGTGCGTGGTCATCATCGAAAAACACGACTCGCACTTTAGAGTACGTGCGGAGGCCGTAGACTTTGACCGCGGGGGAGTCGTTTCCAACTAACCGTTTCATGGCCTCGGCAATATGCTGACCGCAGACAGCGTATCAGTCGAACTCTGCAGAATCTCTTTGGAAGAACTCGTCCGGCGTGATTCACCTTCCCTGCCCCCCGACGATGACGTTGGGGTCAACCGGCGCAAGAACGAGCTCAGGTCTATCCCACACCCCCGGGTCAGTACTGATGGAGCTTTCTATGGCACTCTCGATGCCTCTCACAATGTTCTCAGACAACAAACGGTGGTTAAATAGGATCTTCCCACGGGGAATGGGTTTGATCCAATTAACGTCGACGTTAACAACTTGGACGTCTTGCCTGGCGAAGCCCTGTTCGTCGTATTCGAGGAAGAAACATCGTGTCGTGTCCACGGGCGCAGCGTGCTCAACCAGCTTTTCAATGTCTTCGAGCATGCGAGGCCCCACCCCCTCGCCCTCATCCCCCGAGTCCCGCAACTCAGGTGCCCTGGACCTCTGCGAGCCTTTCCTACCGCCGCTGCGACCGCCCCCGCGGCTGCCACTTCGCCCCCCCCCAGCAGTTTTCCGAGGAGCCCGCGCTTCCTGTGATGCCGTCAACGCCCCGCGAGCTTCATTGACGGCGTCGGTCTGCCCCTGTTTTGTTTGACTCGTAGGAGAGGTCGACGCCTCTCCCCTCTTTTGCTTTCCCCGTGAGCCAGGTTCGTCTCTCCCATCCTTCGTCTGGTCATAGGACTGCGACATTCCACGGGAGGCGGCAGGCGTCGTCCTCACCGCGCCCCTGCGATTCGTTGTGGTGGCGACGATGAAATTGGGAGGAGCGATTGTCTTCGACTTCCTCACCAACGTCATCTCTCTCCTTGTCCATGCCATCGTCCTCACCTTCAACATCTCCTTCGTTACCGTCGTCCCCCTCACCACCGCCCTCCTCCTCCTCACCACCCCCCTCCCCCTCCTCACCACCGCCCTCCCCATCCCAACCACCACCTTCCCCATCTTGGCCCTCGCATTCCTCGTCATCGAAGGCACATGCACCTCCCCGTGAACGATGCTGGGGACCAGCCCGATAGCGCACAGCTCCGTCGTCGTAGTCTGTGGCCTCGCTGGACAGCTCGGCCGCATTGCGACCTTGCCGATCCGAGGGCAGAACCGGAGCGGGCAGAGCCTGGACAACCGCAGCCGACGAAAACGGGGCAGTCGGCAATTGCTTCCTCTTTCCACCCGCTCTGACCGGCTGATCTTGGTGCCGTTTGGGCCCCGCAGCCGACGAAGACGGGGCGTCAATCGGCACGAAAACACGGTCAACTTGCTGGGCAGCAGGCAGCCTCGCGAACTCTTCCCTGTATCGCATAACGAAAGTTGCGAGTTGGTCCGCCGGGCTGTTGAATTGGACCAAAGGTCTGCTGAGCATGAAAGCGCTGTCGACGACAAGCAGGGAACCAGTCATGCGGTAGCCATTGGTTTTGGAAAGAAACTTTTCCGGATCCAGCATTTGGAACTCCGTTCCGTTCCCGCGCACGTCAAACGCTTTCATCGACAAAGCCTTGATTCCGTATCCTTGGAAGAGTCGATGGTCAAGAGACACCTTCTTATCTTCCTTGACCCAGTTTTTCCCCTCTCTGTCATAGACAGACGTAAGGAAGAAGGGCCTGAACTTCCTGCGATCGTAGGTAAACCTCCCCGCTTCCGATTTCTCCACCCCTCCGCAGCAGTACCAGCTCAGACCATTGTCATCGCTCAAAAAGACAACGGCTCCGCAACCCGGCATATGAAGGCCACCTACCCAATCAAGAGCCCATGGTTTGTCGTGGTAGAGCTTAGACCTGCCGTACCATTTTTCGGGGGTGGAGGCAGACGTTGTTTTTCCTGAAGGGTCACACAGAAAAAAAACAACAAGAAAACAACACTAAGTGACATGAAGAAGCATCCGTCGCGACACGGGAGTTTCGCTACCGCCCCACGTAGCGGGTCTGACGTTCCTAGAACGCCGTACCCCACGACCGTTGTGTGTGCGGGTCCGGCATCCCCAAAATAGCAGACCCCACCAGCGTGCCTGTCGGCACGGTGGTCGGACGAACCCCTCCCTCGCCCGCCTCGTTGACGAAACCCCGCGGCATTTCATGCCCTTCCCTCCCCCTACCTCTAGCAGCACGGTGCTGCGAGAGAGTAAGGGGGGCCCTCCCTCCCCGTCGCTAACAACAACACCAAGGGGGTCTGGCGTTCCGGGAACGCCGGACCCCCTTTGAGGTGCAGGGGAAGAAGTGGGTCCGTCCCCTCCCCTTGATGGCCACAGCACAAAGGGGGTCTGGCGTTCCCGGAACGTCGGACCCCCTTTGTGCGGCGGGGGAGGACGGGAACGCCGGACCCCCTTTGTGCCGCGGGGGAGGACGAGGGTCCGATATCCAATTCGACGACGGGCAAAGCACGAAGGGGGTCCGGCGTTCCCGGAACGCCGGACCCCCTTTGTGCTGTGGGGGATGAAGGGGGTCCGTCCCATCCCCTCGATGGCTACAACACCAAGCCTGCGCACCCCTCACTCCCCCGAAGCGCGAAGGGGGTCCGGCGTTCCCGAAGCGCGAAGGGGGTCCGGCGTTCCCGGAACGCCGGACCC